AATGAAGCTATTTAGTTTTTTTTTTTTTGTTTTCTGAAATGTCGCTCTCTTCTTCTAAATTACTGAATGTAATCCCTCCTCTTGTGATGGATGAGGATAACATTAATTTGGAGGCTGATCCAATGGATGGAATTCGGAAAGTAGTGTTTGAAATTTTGAGTTTTTTTTTTGTGGAGCAAAATTGCCTCAGTTTATTAAATCTATTGCTATTGTTTTGATTCCAAAGGTTTCTAGCCCTCAGGATTTTTCTTAGTTTTGCCCTATTAGTCTTACAATTTTTACGATAAAGTTTTATCCAAAATTTTAGTAGATCGATTATTTTTCACCTTGCCAAAAATTATTTCAAAAAAACAGATTGGATTCGTAAAGGGCCGTAATATTAGAGAAAATTATTTGCTAGCTCAAGAAATTATGATTGGGATTGGGAAAATGTATAGAGGAGGAAATGTAGCATTGAATGTGTCCAAAGCATATGATCGTGTGTCTTGGTTTTATGGTAAATGTATTAGCAAGTTTGGTTTTGGGGAACGATTCAAAGATATGATTTGGAGGTTGATCTCCAATGTGTGGTTTTCGGTTATTATAATGGTGTGGTGTATGGATTTAAATCTAGTAGGGGTCTATGGCATGGGACCCTTTATCGCCTGCTTTGTTTGTTATTGGGGCAAAGGTTCTATTGAGAGCACCTAATGACCTTGTTGCTAAGTTCGGTTTTGTGGGTTTTGGAGTGCCGTATGGTTGTCCTCCGGTAACTCATTTGGCATTTGCTGACGATGTGCTTATCTTTGCTAATGGATCTTATACTTCTCTAAAGAGCATCATGCAGGTGTTGGAAATGTATCAAAAGGGCTCTGGAGAAGGGTTATTGAACGAGTGGCTACTTGGTGCATCCTAGATTGTCAATTGCTCGGAGAAGGGTTATTGAACGAGTGACTAAATTTCCTAGGCAGAATTTTCCAGTTCATTATTTGGGTTTTCCCCTATATCTAGGGAGATGTAAGATATCATATTATGGGGAGGTGGGGCAATCTATTCTTCATAGAGTACTTTCTTGGAAATCAAAGTTCTTAACTTCGGGAGGAAAGATAATTCTAATTAAGCATGTGCTTGCTTCGATCTCAATTCATTTGTTATCCGCAACAGTTTTGCCAAAATCAATTATCAAAGTTGTAGAGCAGGTTTGTTCCAATTTCCTATGGGTTTCTACTATAGGCGGAAGAAAGTTTCATTGGATTCACTGGTCTCATTTATGTTATCCAGTATAGGAGGGTGGAGTGAGATTCCTTTTGCTTGAGGATGTTTACACATCTTTTCTTCTAAGTTATGGTGGAACTTTCGTACAGGATCATCTCTTTGGGCCTTGCAGAGGCTCCATCCTGGGCCTGGACACGTGGCAGCCCAGGAATGGCAGAGCTGGGCTTGGACCCCATGCCCTTGACAACCGTCCTGGGACACGCCACCACTAGGGCTCCGAGAGCCTCCGGGAAACGATCCCGCAGAGGGCGGGGAGAATCCACCTCAGTGCGGGATTGAGGCTATATTGAGTAAGTCCCGAAACGTACGGAGGTCGGACTCTCGAGCAGGTATAAATGGTAACGCACACCAGCTACACAAGGTACGCTTACTATTCACCAATTACTCCCGACTGTTTTACTTCCCTTGAATCTCACTCACCGGAAAACTAACTTGACCGTCGGAGTGCCCCCAAGGACCACCTCGGGGCTCCCCTGTTAGACCCCTCTCTTGTTCGCTTTGCAGGCTTGGGACACGCTCTTCTCATCAGCACGCCGAGCTCGTCTAGTCAGCTCGGTCCGGGGAAGCTCAGCACTTCTTCAGTTGGTGCCGTCTGTGGGAACCGAAAGATAAAGTGTAATTGTGTTGATAGCGAGAATGCGTTCCAAGCGAACCATGGAGACCACCAACCCCAGAGCCGGCGAGAGATCCCGGCGAAGGGAGACCGAGGCTGCACGGGACGCCGGGGGCTCAGCCCTTTCAGGGGAACGGAGACAGCAGATCCTTCAGTTCGTGTCGGAGAACCTCCCCATGTTGGAAGACATGATCCGACAAGCGAAGGAGGGAGGCGAAGCCGGAGGCGCGCAGATCTCCAAGGCGAAGGGGAAGGAGAAGGAATCACCCCCCGACCCCTCGGAGGATGAGTCCCGAGACCAGCCCCCCAAGAGGAAACGGCCACGGACTTCTCCTCGCCCACGGGCCTCGGTAGTCGGGGATAGCGAGAGATACTCCCGCGACCGGTCCGTTGGGGGCCGACCGAGAAACCCCTCCCCGTGGAAGCCTGCGCGGAACAAGCCCGAACGCTCCCCCGATCGATCTGTCAAGAGTCGCCTGCGTAACCTTCCCCCGTGGAAACCTGTCCGGGACGAATTCGAGCAGATCTTGCGGTCGCAATTGTACGAGGACAATTACACGGCCTCGCCCTTTACTCGGGGGATAGAGGACTACCTGCTACCTCGGAGATTCAAGATCCCGAACATTGAGTTGTACGATATTTCGACCGACCCGAAAGACCACCTCTCGGTCTTCCTCATGCACATGCGTTTACAGACAGCTGCGGATAAAGCCCGTTGCAAGACTTTCCCGATGTTCCTGAAGGGGAGGGCCCGGCTCTAGTTCCAAGGTTTGGCACCGGGGTCCATCCGAAGTTTTTCTGAACTGGCCAGGCAGTTCGTCGCCCAGTTCGTCTCTTCAAAGATTTATTCGAAGAATGCGGCCCACCTGATGGCAATCAGGCAGAAGCCGGACGAGTCCCTAAGGAATTTCATGGCCCGCTTCAACACGGAGAGCTTGCAGATCAGGGACAAGGATGAAAAGGTGGTGATGGCCGCCTTCATGAATGGGCTCAGGGCAGAGGAGCTCTTCTACAAGTTGGCTGAAAAGCCTCCTGGAGACCTAGAGGAGCTCTTGACCAGGGCGCACGCAGCCGCTAACGCAGAGGAGGCGGCACGCTTGAAGAGGGAGTCGGATCGAGAGCTCGGCGATCGGAGAGGACGGGGAAATCCTCTCGAAAACAAGGACGGCCCGGCCAAGAAGAACGTCTTCGACCGACTATCCAAGGAGAAAGCCCCCGCTCAGCCGTCGCTTCCGGAAAAAGGGTACACCCCCTGACTCGGCCTAGAACCCAAATCCTAGCCGTCATGGAGGTGGAGGGTCTGGGGGAACGGCCGCCTAAGATGGGGACATCCCGGAACAAGAGGAACCAGGACCGGTACTGTGCCTTCCACCGAGACGTTGGGCATGACACGGAGGGGTGCTGGACCCTGCGGAAGGAGATCGAGGATTTGATCCAGCGCGGCTTCCTGGGACGATACGTGCGGCAAGGTCAACCGGGCCAGGAGCCGGGACGCACCTACCTCGGAAACAGGGGCGAGAGCCAGCGTTGCAACCGCCCTGAGCGGCGTGACGTTCCTCGGGGCAACTCCTCCGACCAGGACAGAACTTAGCAGGGGTGATAAACACCATCGTTGGGGATCCCACGAGAGGGGACAGCCATGCAGCTCGGAAGAACAAGCGACCTCTCCCCGAGGGGGATGATTCCCTGAAGCGCTTGCGCATGGACGAAGAGATCACCTTCGGTCCAAAGGATGCGATTTCCCTGGCATCCGGGAATCACGAGACCATCGTGATAGACGTCGTCACCAACAACTATCGGGTGAAGAAGGTGTATGTCGATCAAGGGAGCGCAGTGGACATCCTGTTTTATCGGGTGTTCAGAGAGCTCGGCTTGGAAGATGGACAGTTGACCCCGGTTCGGACACCCCTGGTGGGCTTCACCGGATCACCCATCAATCCGGAAGGAATGAACACTCTGATGGTTACGGTAGGGCAGTCACCCAAATGCCGGACAATCCCTGTCAATTTCGTGGTGGTCAAGCAGCCATCCCCATACAATGTATTTTTGGGTCGGCCCGCCTTGAACGCCCTCCAAACTATTCCCTCTTCGCTCCACCTCAGCGTCAAGTTCCCCATCCCGAGAGGGATAACCGAGGTGCATGGAGATTCAGAAGTGGCTAGAGTTTGCTACTTGGCCATGCTCCGGGGACATGAGAAGGTGGTTATCCAAACGACCAGTTTGGAGCCCTACATCCCGGGGGAGGAGGCTCGACAGTTGGGCACCCAGGACGAGATCGAGGAGTTCCCTTTGAGGGAGGACCGGCCCGACCAGGCCCTCCGCATCGGTGTGCTGCTACCCTCTGAGGAGAAGGAGGGTTTGAAGGCCCTGCTGAGGAAGTATTCCCAAGTTTTCGCGTGGACGGTTGAAGACATGCCCGGGATTCCGACTGACCTGGCCGTCCACCACCTCAACGTGGATCCCCGCTTCAAGCCGGTGAAGCAGAAGAAGAGGAGTTTCGCCCCAGAAAGGAATGAGGTGATTAAGAAGGAGGTCGGCAAGCTGCTAGAATCCAAAATCATCGTGGAGATATACTACCCGACCTGGTTAGCCAATCCCGTCCTGGTGAAGAAGGAGGACCAGTCTTGGAGGATATGCGTGGACTTCATAGACCTCAATAAGGCCTGCCCAAAGGATTGCTTCCCCTTGCCGAGGATCGACAGGTTAGTAGACTCTACTGTGGGTTTTGATGTTTTGTGTTTCTTGGATGCCTTCAAGGGATACCACCAGATAGAGATGGCCGAGGAGGATCGGGAAAATACTTCCTTCATCACTGAGGAAGGAACGTATTGCTACCGGACAATGCCGTTTGGATTGAAAAACGTTGGAGCTACCTACCAGCGCCTGGTCCACTATTCCAAACTCAGATCAGCAAGAGTATGGAGGTCTACGTGGACGATATGATCGTCAAGAGTCGAACTGACCAGCAGCTCGTTCCCGACCTGAGGGAAATCCTGAACATCCTGTGAGAAACCCGGATGCGGCTGAACCCGAAAAATGTACCTTCAGGGTTATATCGGGAAAGTTCCTGGGTTTCTTGGTCTCCCGGAAGGGGATCCGGGCCAATCCGGATAAGCTCCAGGCCATCATGGACATGGCCCTTCCAAGGAGCGTCAAGGAGGTCCAACGGCTCACGGGAAGGATGCCCGCCCTGAATAGATTCCTCTCGCGCTCCGCGGTAAGGGGGCTACCCTTCTTTCGAATCCTGAAAGCACCTAAGGACTTTCAATGGACTGAGAAATGCCAGAAAGCCTTCGTCGACCTAAAGGCATACCTGGCTGAGCTGCCTGCTTTGATCGCCCCGGAGCAGGGAGAAACCCTGTTCCTATACTTATCTGCTTGCAACGAGGCCGTTAGCATGGTTTTGGTGTGGGAGGACAAAGGGGCTCAGAGGCCAATATACTACGTCAGCCGTGCTTTACAAGGGCCGGAAACGCGGTACACACCGGCAGAGAAATTAGTCCTCGCCTTGGTGCATGCCGCCCGGAAACTCCGACCTTATTTCCAGACCCACAGCATTGTTGTCTTGACGGATCAGCTCTTACGTCAGATACTCACAAAACCTGAGGTCTCGGGCAGAATGACCAAATGAGCCGTCAAGTTGGCCGAGCACAACATCAGCTATCAGCCTCACACCGCTATCAAAGCTCAAGCCCTGGCAGACTTCCTTGCTGAGGGAGCCAGTTTGTCCGTGGCTGAGCCGAGCTCTTTGCCCAATGAGGTACGGTTGGAAGGGCCGTGGGTACTATTTGTGGACGGGGCCTCAAGTAAAGAAGGGAGCGGAGGCGGCCTGCTGCTCACCTAGCCCACCGGGGAAGAGCTGACCTATGCGCTCAGATTCGACTTCCCGACATCCAGTAATGAGGCGGAGTACGAGGCCTTACTGACAGGATTGTGGATAGCCCACCAGATGGGTATAGCCGCGATCAAGGTCTGGAGCGATTCCCAACTCGTAGTCCACCAAGTCCGCGAGGAGTATGAGGCCAAGGAGAACGTCATGAAGAAATATTTGGTTAAGGTACGAGAGACGATAGCCCTGTTCGACACTTTTGAAATCGAATAGGTGCCGAGATCGCAGAACAAGCGCGCGGACGCCCTGTCGAAGCTAGCGTCCTCCTCGTTTGCTCACCTGAGCAAGGAAGTCTTGGTGGAGGTCGTTAAGCAAAGAGGCATTGACCAGGTCCAGGTCTTGGCTATAGACAGCCCGGCCTCCTGGATGACTCCCCTCTTGAACTTCCTCAACTCGGGTGTCCTCCTCGAGAACAAGACCGAGGCTCGCCGACTCCAGCTCAAAACTGCCAAGTACGCCTATTCTGGGGGGACCCTCTACAGGAGGTCGTATTTGTCTCCCTGGTTAAAGTGCGTAACTCCTGAGGAGAGCGACTACATCCTCCGTGAAGTTCACGAAGGCTTATATGCGGCATATGTGGGATCCCGGGTATTGGCCAAAAAGTGTCTGCTCTTAGACTACTATTGGCCCACAGTGTTTCGAGATGCCGCGGCTCTAGTTCAGAAATGCCGAGCTTGCCAGGTGCACGCCCAGCTGTGTCACCAGCCCACTCGGGCGATGGTCCCCATCCATAGTTCTTGGCCCTTTGCCCTGTAGGGAATAGACCTTTTGGGCCCCTTTTCCCGAGTTCCCGGAAGGTACGAGCACCTCGTGGTGCCCATCGACTATATTACAAAGTGGATCGAGACCGAGCCCCTGGCCACTATCTCTGGAAAGGTAGTTCAGAATTCTTCTGGAAGAACATAGTCTGCCGCTTCGGGATTCCACATGTCTTGATATCTGACAATGGGCGGCAGTTCGTCTAAAACCCCTTCTGAAACTGGTGCACCGAGCTCGGGATCAGCCAACACTTCACGTCGGTCGGTCATCTCCAGGCAAATGGCCAAGTAGAGAACGTTAACCGAACCATTCTGCTAGGATTAAAAGACTAGGTTGGAGTTGGCTCAGTCTAACTGGCTAGATGAGCTTCCTAGTGTCCTCTGGGCCTACCGCACCACTCCGAGGACGCCCACTCAGGAGACCCCGTTTTCCCTGACTTATGGGGCAGAGACGGTGGTGCCCGCGGAGATCAGCCTCCCCTCGCCTCGGACACAGAACTTCGTTGCGCCAGCCAACGAAGAAGAGTCGAGATGTAACTTGGACATGCTGGAGGCCAAGCGCAAGGAAGCGGCGATACGGATGACTAAGTAAAAAAGCTAGCTCGCCCGCTATCATAACGCAAAAATGAGAAACACGCAGCACCAGCCAGGAGATCTCGTCATAAGAAGGAACTCTGTCAGCCGAGCCCACAGTTCCAACAAGCTCGACCCGAACTGGGAGGGACCGTACAAGGTCCTGGAGGCAAGCCGAGTTGGGTACTGCAGGCTTGCGAAATTAGATGGAGCGGAAGTACCCCGTACTTGGCACTTCTCGAACTTGCGGTTGTTCGTAGGCTAGATTGGGCTAGGATATCTTACTGTCTATTCTTCAGAATTCGCATACAAGTTCATCATTAAATAAATGATTGTCTTTGAACCTTCCTTTTATCAACACAGTTTAACTTTTAAGTTTGGATCCTACGCTAGCACATTCAAACAATGCTAAGTGTCCTAGTGGGGGGCTGGGGGTGAATGGTAATGGATGGAATGCCTTTAAAGTTTAATGCTCGACCCAGGAGGTCGGCAGGACTATCATTAAAATCTTAACGCTCGATCCAGGAGGTCGGCATGGCTGCCTTTAAAGTTTGATGCTCGGCCCAGGAGGTTGGCACGACGGAAATTAGTTTGATGAAGTTTGTTGATTCCCCAGTCTGATTGTCCAGGAGGTCGACAGGACTATCTTTAAAATCTTGACGCTCGACCAGGAGGTCGGCATGACTGCCTTTAAAGTTTGATGTTCGGCCCAAGAGATCGGCACGACGAAAATTAGTTTGATGAAGTTTGTTGATTCCCCAGTCTGATTGTCCTTGACAATTTAGTTATTAGATTAAAATGTGATAGATGCTCGGCCCAAGAGGTCGGCACGCCGTCTTGATGGGTCTATTTGGTGCTCGACCCGGGAGGTCGGCATATGGCCTTAATTGTTAGAGTTGGCGCAGGCGAGAATTGCAAATCGAGATTAGATAATTCCATTCGAATTAGGTATATACAACCTATCTATTACAAAGTCTACCGAGCTATAAGAGGAAAATGGAAAGGGTTTGTAGAGTGGTCGCTACCCTTAGGCGGACAAACCTCTTGCAGGTGACTACTGACATGAGGAAAACACGGCAGCAGGTTTCATATACTGAGAGAGTTGGTGATGCTAGATATCCGCACCCTTCACGCTGGGGAAGATATGCTTTCTCTCTACTCCAGATGGAGAGCTCAGCGCCTCTTCAGATATGAAAACCTAGCTATGTACAGCTCGGCCCCCCTAGACACCCCTAAGCCACCGGCTCCTTCCCGAAAGCCCGGCCGGGAGCCTCGTCTTCCTCCAAGGGAACCTCTGCCAGCTCGGCTCCCACGTCGCTCCGGTCCACCAGCTTCTTCAGGGCATGCCCCTTGCATTACCCGTCGAAGAGCCAGTCTATCTTCTCCTCGGCGGCAGGATTGTAGTCCTTGAACGCAGCCAAGTCGAAGCCAGGTAGGCCGAGCTCCTTGACCTGATCCAGGGCTCGCGTGAAGCCGACCTGAAGGATGGGCTGGTTGAGGAGATCGACATCCTCGGCAAACTGTTCGGAGGAGATGAACTCTCGAACAGCCTTCCTGCGCTCCCGGCTGACGGTGCCGGAGAGCTCGATGGGATGGTCCTCTTTCAGCTTCGCCACACCCATCCTCTCCTGGTCCAGCTCTGACCTGGTAGAGGCTAGCTGGACCTGAGCAGTTTCCAGCTCCTTCTCGCCCTTGCCCAACTTGGCCTTAAGGGAGTCCGTCTCCTTAAGGGCCTGGGCAAGCCTTCGCTCTGTCTCCCGATTCTTTTTCTGCAATTTCTTCATGTCGGGAGACAGCTCGGAGAAGCAGGTTGTCAGGGCAGCTCCAGCAGCATTGGCCAGAGGAGAGGAGAGGAAAAGGAAATTAGCACACTGCGCGTCTTAGCCAGAAATCAGATGCGCGAGTGGCCTAAAAGGTAGGGAACTTACTTGAGTCTGGGCAGTGAAGTACATGTCTTGGAGCTCGGACGAGCTCACTAGCTCCATCCACCTCCTGTCACGCAGGAGGACCGAGCCCGTGACTAGCTCGCGAGCCACCTGGGGGAACTGGGCTCGGTCGTTGATGGATAGCCCCCAAGATGGACAGAAGTGGCGGGAGTCGTGCATGGAGAGGGCCTAGCCCGGCTTCACGGGGGCGACGTGGCGGAAGTGCCATAGACTAGGGGGCAGCATCTCCCGCGCGTGCTCCTCTGCATAGCCGACTCCCAAGTGGACCGGACCCGCATGAGAAGCGCCCCCCGACGTCATCAGGAGAGGGGGTTGAGCTGGGGTGTGAGCGAGCCTCTTCTCGGGCTGGAGGGCTTCGTCCCCTCGGCCCCTCTTCTGCCCGGCCGCTCTCTTCTTGCTGGCGACCTGCTTGGAGGGGGACGATGCTTCCTTCTGGGGGTCCGAGCTGCCCCCAGGAGTCGGAGAGGCCTTCTTGGCGGCCTCTGACTGTGGAGTGGGAGTGATCGGCTCGGAAGGCGTGCCCAGCAGATTGAAAAGCCTCCTCACTACAGGAAACACCACCAGGTTAGTACGAACAGGTTAGTAAAAGAAAAAGAAAGTAGCGGACTACAGGGGCACAAAGGCGGCATTACAGGTGTCGTAATCGGTAGGGGACGGCTCCACCTCTCCAGGGGACCCGGATAACGTCCCCATCAGCCCGGCCGCAGATATCTGCTCGGAGGAAAACCTGGCCGCGTAGAGTTTCACCTTGGAGCTCACCAGCTAGCTGAGGGTCTCAGAGTCCAAGTCCTCCGGATACGGGTCGGAGTTGACCTCCCCGACCTTCCACACATTGGGGAAAAAATGTGTGGATTTGACAAAAAGAAATCCCCCTTCCAATTCTTTATGGAGGAGGGGACCCCGAAGAGGAGATCCTGGGTGCCCTTTCTCACCCGAACTTTGCCCATAGTTCGGCGGGAGAAGTAGTACCACCCTGGGAGGGAGAGTTTGAGGGTGTTAGAAACTCGGAAAAGGGAGAGAGAGCAGGGGATGAAGCAGATCTGATAGTAGATCAGGAATCCAAGAATGATTCTGATCGAGTTGGGGTGGACTTGGGTGACCCTGAGTCCCCAGTAGCTCAAGATCTCTGCTAGGACTGGAGGAATGGGGAGGTGGAACCCCGCGACCAGCTGCTCCCTATACATGGCCACGAAACCAGGGGGAGGTCGGCTGGCCCTGTCGTTGGGTCCGGCAGCCCTCGGTTCGAAAGCCGGAGGAATAGAAAAAGACCCGGCCAGTTCGACCACTACCTCGGGTGAGAGGGTGACCTCTTGTTGGTCAGGATGACTGAAGTCGAATCCAGGATCATCCCCCTGCTCGGAAGCAGGGGTCTCCTCGGAGGAGTCCCTGTCCTCCCCAGCTCCTCCTTGGGCTCCACTAGGAGAGTCGTGTGGAGACTTGGGGGAGGGAACAGAAGTGGCCTGCTGCTCGATGAGAGCATCGAGTTCGGCCACCTCCTTCAAGATTCGAGCAGAAGGAGAGTGGGCGGATGGAGAGCTCATGATGACTATGGGCTCAAGCAAATCAGGAACGCAGAAGCTAGAATTAGAAGCAGAAGAGAAAGAAAGAGGAGGAGGGGGTGATGAAGATGAAGAAGAAATGAGAATCCTAGGGGCTCTACGGTGGGCAGGAATCCGAGAAGCAGTGGAAGTGACACCGGACCGATCCGACATAAAAAGCAGAAGACGGCAAAGGAAAAAAAGAGTGAAGGAGGAAGGAAAAGGACTTACTGGTGAGTAGAATGGGGAAAATAAGGGAATCGCCGGAGTCTGGGCACTAAGAGCCGGAAGTCTTGCCGCCGGAAATTGAAAATGCACGAGGAAAGAAAAATGGCAAATAGAGTCAGAGGAAATCCGGAAGCCCCTATTTATAGGGAATGAAATGGGAGGAAACGGCTGCTTGAATTTGAACCGCCCCATGTGAACGCATTTAAAAAAGGTACGGAGACCGAAGAGACGCGACAACTGAAAGGACATGAGCTCTGCTTTTTAGTAACAATGCTGTACCGGAGGTGACCCTGTCAGAGTAGTGTGCGACGCTGGTCTCTCACGTGGCTGGGGTATAGATTAGGTCAGCCTGGAAGCCCTACCTAATCTAGGGGACTAGTGCAGAGGCCCCGTCTTGGGCCTGGACACGTGGCAGCCCAGGAATGGCAGAGCTGGGCTTGGACCCCAGGCCCCTGACAACTGTCCTGGGACACGTCACCACTAGGGCTCCGAGAGGCTTCGGGAAACGATCCCGCAGAGGGTGGGGAAAATCCCCCTCAGCGCGGGATTGAGGCTATACTGGGTAAGTCCCGAAACATACGGAGGTTGGACTCTCGAGCAGGTATAAATGGTAACGCATACCAGCTACACAAGGTACGCTCACTATTCGCCAATTACTCCCGACTGTTTTACTTCCCGTGAACCTCACTCACCAGAAAACTAACTTGACCGTCGGAGTGCCCCCGGGGACCACCTCGGGGCTCCCCTGTTTGACCACTCTCTTGTTCGCTTTGCAGGCTTGGGACACGCTTTTCTCATTAGCACGCCGAGCTCGTCAGGTCAGCTCGGTTTGGGGAAGCTCAGCGCTTCTTCAGACATCTTTC